AAGGGAGTGCTATACCAGGAAAACTAAAGACAGACACACAGAAATAAGAAAACATACAACAACCAAGAAAATGGCCAACCTAATGGTAAGAATGAGTCTGGAAAGATCAATAATAACATTGAATGTTAACACCCAGGATTTAAATGAGAGATCATATCACAAAAACTCTGCAAATTCAACAGAAGAGAGGTTAATTACATGAGATTGTACAGTAGAAATATAATTTTATGACTTGTGACTAAAACATTACTGATTATTTTTCCTTTGCTTTTATTTTTTCAGATTTAAGGATTTTTGTGTTCTTTTGAGCTATTGATAGGTTCAGTAATTTGCTAATTTTTTTTTTGGAAATTGAAACAAACTTTTTTTACTTCCTAACCCCTCTCAAATTGGAAAATATTCTTATTTTGCAGCAGAATGGTTATTTGCATAAGTTCAGTAATATCTGTTGCCTTGCATCAGAACTTTGAAATACTGGTTACTGCCAAGGCTTCTACTGGAATGTCATTTCTGAAGATATGACCAGAAAGCTAAGGAACGGAGGTAGATACCAAGAAAGCCAATGCAGAGAAGCTCTTGGAGACATTGCCTGGTACCGTAAACAGTTTTGCCAGGCAGGTAAGTAGAGAATGTCATTTCCTGACAGGTCCCAAAATCTTTCAAGTACAGGTACTTAAAAGGACAGGCAGATGGGAGTCCCTGACTTGGCTCAGTAGCATTGGAAGGTTTTTTAAAGAGTCTAATATGAAGTTCCTTATAAGAGGTTCCAGCAAAGCCAACTAAATCAGTTAATATCCTTATGGGGCTTTGTGCTAATAACAGACCAAACTGAGACTAAATTTATTTTTAGTTTTTGCAAATAAGTTTATGTCTCTTCGGTAAAAGTGAGAATGGAGAGAGAAAAAACAATGTTTCAGAAGAAAATTACAGTGCACTTGTTACTAAACTTTACCTTTGTCCATATCTGTTTTTTGAGTTTTTAGTATCTGCCAACTGTATAAACAGAATACTAGTCTTTTTTCTGGCTTTAAGTCTTAGGCAAATTTTTCTTAACATGGTTGGATTTTGACTTATTAAAGCTAAAATTGCTTTTCTTGAAATTAAAAATAAATAAATATATATTCACATATATATGCATATATGTGTGTGTGTTTAATGACTACAGTAAGCTATGTAGCTTCGGCCAGCTGCTACTTCATAGTATGTTCATCCTACTCGCTGAGTTTTTTGCCTAAAGTCAGACATGGGTTCATCGGCATGTCTATATCTGCTGCACTTGCTACTGCAAAGTATTTAGATTAGTCTAAGATTCTTTGAGAATCAATAAAATATGAAGAAAAAACAAACTATAAATGGCTATTAGTGAGGGATATTATCAGTAGTTGACTAATATTAACTAATATTGACCAATATTGATTTGTTAATTAATATTGTTGGCCAATATTATGGTATATTCATTCATACAATCAAATTTATGTAGCCATTAAGATATATGTATGATCTCTATGTATAAAAATGCTGATGATAATGTATATAAAAAAAATCTTTTTTTTTTTTTTTGAGAGGTTTTTGCTATAGGGTGCGTGCGCTTGCCAGACTGACAGAGACAGAGAGATAGAAAGGGAGAAATCACCCCGCAGGGGAGATGGCCACGCAGCAATCCCTTCTCCTCCATTCTCCTCTCAGGATCTTGGGCACGCACGCACACGCGCCCGGCATGAGATTTAAGCCACTGGGTCCAGGACGCGAACTGCGGTCGACTACGTGGGAGTCCAGTGACATAGCCATTACGCTAACTGCTGGTCCCTATAAAAATATCTTTAGTGAAGAAAATAATAATAAATAAAATTAACTTTAAAAAGAAAAAACAAACCCTTAATTTAAATGCTCTTACTAGTGAGTACTTGTCTTTGGTCTTAGGTTAGTATACAGTAGAATTAGAAGTCTACTAAAAAAAAATCACAAAACTCTTTTTTAGAGAGTTTTTTTTTTGCTAAAAAGGTGTGTGCACTTGAGTTTTTAGTATCTGCCCACTGTTTAAACAGGATATGAGAGAGAGAGAGAGAGAGACAGAGACAGAGAGAGAGAGAGAGAGATCACTGCCCCAGGGGGATAGGTCATGCTACAATCCCTTCTCCTCCATTATCTTCTTGGGATTTTGGGCATGCATGCATATGCATCCAGTGTGAGCTTTAAGTCTCTGGGTCTGGGACTCGAACTGTGATTGACTATGTGGGAATCCAGCAACATAACCATTACACCATCTGCTGGTCCTAAAAATCATGAAACTTTTTATTTCAGCAAGTTTATTTGGTGTCTACATTGTTATCAATAAAGGAGAATGTGTTTGTAAAACTCTTGAGAAAGACGTACAATAGTTTATAGATAGGCATATTGATACTCATTGATGTAATTACTACTTGAGTTTTCAGATTCAGCTGGAGTTATTAAGGATTCCAAGAAAAAGCCACACCATTTCATAGCAGGATTTAGTGTTTCAGCAAGTTTATTTGGTGTCTACATTGTTATCAATAAAGGAGAATGTGTTTGTAAAACTCTTGAGAAAGACGTACAATAGTTTATAGATAGGCATATTGATACTCATTGATGTAATTACTACTTGAGTTTTCAGATTCAGCTGGAGTTATTAAGGATTCCAAGAAAAAGCCACACCATTTCATAGCAGGATTTAGTGCCATAACTATATCAAAATGGATTGGAAAGTAGCAAGCATTAGAGATGAAACAGAGTTTTTGTCTGACCTCAAGTGCGTGAAGATGTTGAAAAGCTGCCTTGCATAAACACTGGTACCATTTTATCAGTCATGGAACTGGTTGTGGAGAATAGAAATAAAATTTTGGGAACTTACTAGAAAAGCAGATTCGTATTTCTCTTTCTTTTCTTTTCCTTTCTTTTCTTTTTCTTTCTTTTTCTTTTTTTTCCCTTTTTTTTTTTGGAGAGGATTTTGCTATAGGGCACGTGTGCTCACCAGAAAGACAGAGAGAGACAGAGCGAGAGAGAGTGAGAAATCACCCCCTGGAGGGATGGCCAAGCCACAATCCCTTCTCCTCCCTTCTCCTCTTGGGATCTTGGGTACGCACGCACACACACCCAGAGTGAGTTTAAGCCACCTGGTCCAAGACTCGAACTGCGGTCAACTACATGGGAGACCAGCGACATAGCCATTATGCTAACTGCTGGTCTTGTTTCTCTGTATTTTCTTAAGCACACAAAAAATCGACAAACACACATCCATCTTGAATTTCCTAAAAGTGATATTTGGTTGCTCCCTCTCACATTTCCTGTGGTTAGAAGGATAACATTTTTCAAAAGTGAATAGTACTAGAAACTTCTTAATGAAGGGAACAGCAGCTCAGTTACGTGCAACACAGAGAAATGACTGCTTCGCATCAGTAAATGGAACCAGATTTCGTTTGCACATCAGACGTCGCATGAAGCATTATTTTCTGAATTAACTTTATTGAAAAATGTCAGAAGCAATTCTTTAATGAAGCGTATTATTCCCAAAGCATTTACTTTTTTCTATACCCTCCCCAAATCTTAATAGCTTCGACACATATCCCCTGACCTAAGAATACTTTTTAGATAATTCAGTGTTAGTATTTCTTTAAGTTAACTGTGTTTAACAATATTGCTACTTAAAAGTAAAATGAGGATCAAGTATGGTTAAGCTTGATAAACAATCCATAGAACTTGACTGAGAGAAAGGGGAAAACTTTTCTTTCCTAGATGTAAGACACTTTGAGCGCATTTACAAAAGTCCATAAATAAGGTCCTCAATAAGTCTTACGTTCTAAAACAAAGTGAGGATTCTTTAAATATTTAAAAAGCTGGTTTTGATGGTAATCTTCCAAAATAGCTCTGGTCTTTTTTTTTCAGTCTTTTTTTCTTTTTTCCCCTAATTTCCTAACTTGGACCGTCTTAAAATTTCTCCAGGTAGACTTGTTGTTCCTAGCATTTCACACACAAAAGACACCAGGACATCTTGGGGAGTAAAGTAAAAAGTACAATTTAAGTGGTGAGACAAAACCTCATTAAAGAACTCATTTGAAGAAATGGCATCTCTACTCTATTACACACAAATTGCTTCTAGGCACTAAATAAGCTCTCTCTGAGAAAAAAGCAAATCAGTCATGTTGATTTTGTGAACATTTATCTTCAGTTCTTTAGTGCAATTAGAGGAACTAGGAAGGCTGCCCTACTTAAGATGAAAGACATGAAAAATCTCCACTTTTTCTTTTTTTCATAAATTAAAATGTATTTAAATGAAAAGGGACAAATGGAATCTTTCACCATTTTCAATGCTACTTAGATTTAGCTTTCCTTTTCAATGAAAAGATTTGGACAATATAATATTTTAATGCTACATGTGAATTGGAGGATTTAAACCTATCAGTCTTTATGTCAATGCTACTTTAAAATTTATTTTTAAGATCTTTTTTGTTTACCAAAATTAATGTTAGAAAAATTTTCAAAACTCATGGATGACCCTGATAAAAGGGAAATAATTACTGCTCACATACTCTGAAGGATTGGTCATATACATGAAAGACTCTTTTATATTGGCCAATAGCCAGATTTCTCAGCTCTTAATAGATCTAAATATTTAACAATACATTTAAAGCAGTAAGTGATAATGGAAAATAAAGGAGTAAGTAATTGTTTCGTGAGATGATCACAAAGAAAATTCTAAGTATTTTAATAAATATGAACACCCCCCAATTATTTTAGATGACAAAAATAGGGCTCTATTAAAATGGGGACTATTTGTCTCATTTATAGATCCAGTATTGGCCTTTAAGGAGAAGCTTAAGGAAATTAAACTTGCAAAAATGCTTGAGAACATTCAGCAATATAAACAAGGTATCTAATTTCTGCCAGGTGGTATCACCACATAGCAATACTGAAGAATTGTCTTTAAGGGTGATAATGAAAAATATTCAAGTTCTGCTACTTCGTATTTTTGTTTCACACAAATTATTTATAAATTATTTCAGTAATTTTCCCTTAGGTTTCCATTTTTGTGATGAGCAATTCAAAAAATGAACTCCTTTTCAGAAACAGAGTCCTGGGACCAGCAGTTGGCGTAATGGCTATGTCGCTGGACTCCCATGTCATTGACCGTGATACGAGTCCTGGACCCGGAGGCTTAAACTCACGCCGGGTGCATGTGCGTGCGTGCCCAAGATCCCGAGAGGAGAATGGAGGCGAAGGGATTGCGGTGTGATTTCTCCCTTTCTGTCTCTCTGTCTCTCTCTGTCTTTCTGACGAGTGCACACACCCTATAGCAAAAACCTCTCCAAAAAAAGAAGAAGAAGAAAAAAAAAAGAAAAAGAAACAGAGTCCCAAATTCACATGATTATAATATTTTGGGTGACTCTTCTCAAATACAGCATACTGAGTATGTATACACTTGCAGCCAGCTGTAAAGGCATGGATATGTTCCAGTTCTCAGATCACAATACAGTGAGTTAACAGTGCAGGGGGTATAGTTGGAATGCTCTCAAAGGTAAATCTTTGTAAGCATGGCTTGGAATTATGCTATATTATTCTTATTAATATACAGAGTTTCTTTCCCCCAATATTACACTGAGGTT